CAGCAGCTGTATTTGGTCCTAAATGAGCCCCGTACCATGTGATCCTAGCACCAAACCTCACAGCTACTGTGTGAAGCTGATTACTGTAACTTTGAACTGAATTACTAATTCATGCGTGCTGCATACAGCCGACCCGGTTCACAGTGTTATGTAATGGTGTTGGAAAAGAAAGGTGCGCAGTGAACACGCTGTTCCTTCTAAACGTCTGCTCTGGAAAGTTTCAGAGGAAAGTGGTTTAGTTTACGTTATTATACCGAAACTAAGAGTCTGTTTAGACCAACGGTTCTTAAATAAACATAGGAAAATGTGCTCTAAATGCTAACTCTGCTTGCTTTTATAGTGGTTTGTTGAATAAAAAGTGTTGGGAGCATTTTTATTTCATATTTTCAGCGAGAGACAAGAATCTGAGTGGAGGATAACCTTATTTGTGTTTGTCGGGACCAAAAAAACCCGCCCTCACCCACAGATCCTTATGTTACTAAAAAAACAGAGGTACTTTACTATCAAGTACACATGGAACATTTTATTTCAGAAGCTTGTCTGTAAAACACATTTTCATCCCTTTTATTTAGTTTCATACTATCCAGTTTTTAGTTGCCAACCTCAGGTGTACGCTCCGTCCTACCAACAAACTCGGGACTTGCAGTTTACCTTCTGCGACCCACTTCTGCGAGATCCAGTACAAAGCTCATTCCCACCACCAGAGTTTTAATGGTGAGAGTTGAGCCAGGGCTTCATTTGAATCTCAGACGCATCATCGGGTCTTACTTTTTGTGACAGTAGCTGTTATCTTTGAGATGTTACAAGTCGGTATAAAAAAAAACAACTAAAATGCAGATGAGTTCTCAAACCATTGATTAAATCGTAGCCTCTGGAAGCATCGTGGTTTTCTTAAAGCAAGAGCTACCTGATTGACCCATGGAGTAAGCGTGAGGAATGAGATCGGATTGGCTCACAGGAAAGCTCGGCGTTTACTCTTCGCAGTTGCAGTAATCAAACCTCCTCTTCTGCTTGAAATCTCTGATTGCAATCAGAAAGACTTTAGCTTGGTGCGGATCAACAAAGCAGCAATTTTATGAAATCAAAATGCATTTTATCAATTGTTTTACAATTGTGGGTTTGTTCTGAAGCACCGAAGCATCTGCACGGTTCCAAAGGATGAGGCTGGTGTCTGAGGACATGGGGTCCAGATTTTACTGCCCAAAGAGCCAGCAAACTAACGATGGCAGCAGAGGAGTTAAGCACCTGTTGGATTGAGTCCTGTTCAGTCTGTTGCAGTCGTCGTGTCCTTGGGCAAGACACTTAACCCACCTTGCCTGCTGTAGCCTCCATCACCTGTAAGTGGAAGAAGTTCAGAATCACTAGGGTTCTCCTAGAGCTGGCCGGCTATTTAGAGTGAGCAAGGCCCTTAGTCTGTTGGGTCCTCAACCAAGAGCCCAATGGTCACCGTCAGAGCTCCAGCATTCCTCTATCCGGAGAGGAGAACCTTCTAGAACAGTGTCCTACGCCTTATGGCTTATTAAATACCATGTAACTTAAATCATTACAGTACGTTCATTGGTGTGTTTCATCCAGTTGTGTTACGGTTCTTTTTTAACATAAGTGTTTCTCAATTCCGGTCCTCAGAACCACATGCTCTGCGTGTTTTCCATGCTACCAGTGTTTCCCTGCTGCCACACACCTGACTAATAATGAATGAGTGATCAACAGGCATCTGCAGCACTTGATGTCAGGGTATTAGCCAGAAACTGAGAAAGTGGGTGTCACACCCCTCCGGGACGGGTGGTGGTGATGGTGGTGTGCCTTTTTAAGGAATGTTTCACATTCAAAGTTTATTTCAAAAGTATAGATTCTTTCAAGTAATTGTTATGTATTTTCTAACAATCCAACAGAAAAGGTCTCTAAATTATTAAAGCTGAAGATATTTTACATAATGTCATGTAATAAAGCCAAATGAGATTACAAAATTCTAAACCGTTTGAACTAAAGTGAAAAATGCAAAAACAGAAGTTCTTTCTGCTTTCCTGATTCACTTAATCATTTTTCATGTTTTTCTTTTGCTCAGACGAGTTAAACTTAACTAGCGAATGACTGCAAGTAAAACGATGCGTTGGTGTGTTTTATTGTCGACTATATTAAAACAAGATTTATCCTTTTTCTCTGCCTCTCGATCCGCTGATCTGTGGTTCAGACTCGTGCTTATTTCTGAGATCTGTTGTCACTTATTAAAATGGGAGAATCAGCTGAAACAGCGGATCTGTGCTGGGCTGTGCGCAGGTCGCGGCTGCCTGGAGTCCATCAACGATCAGCGCTCCGAGTCCTCTCCGTTCAGAGGAATCCCTGGTACACTGAGAATCCATAATTAATGTTATCTATATAGAAACTGTATATTATTTGGGCTCCCCCGGTTGTGTAAGCTGAGGGATAGTGGAGCTCATCACCTTTCAGGTGAGCCGGGCTCGCTGCCATTATTCGAACCCTGCGTGCTTGGTTAACCCCCATCGCAATAAATCTGCGTATTTCCACTTGAACATATTTGCCAAATGATTTGTGCAAAATTCAGATTTTTATTTTACTTCCACAAACGGCAAATTCTTGGTTCAAAAGGCGCCAGACATGGAAAACATGCAGGACAGCGTGTCTTGAGGACTGGAATTGAGAACCACTGTTCTGGAAGGACAACCATGTCTGCAGCAATCCACCAATCAGGTCTGCAGTGGCCAGACAGAAGCCACTCCTTTTGCAAAAGACACATGGCAGTCCACACGGAGTTTGCCGAGAGGCACCTGAAGGATCCTCAGACCATAAGAAACACAGTCGTTTGGTCTGACGAGACAAAGCTAGCACCCTTTTGTGTGAATGCCATCAGTCATGTTTGGATGAAATCAGTCACCGCTCATCAACAGCCCAATACCATTCCTGAAGTGAAGCATGGTGGTGACAGCATCATGCTATGGGGATGTTTTTCAGCAGCAGGAACTGGGGAACTAGTGAGGATAGAAGGACCGATGAGGGCAGCCATGTTCAGAGACATCCTGGATGAAAACCTGCTCCGTGGTGCTCTCTACCTCAGACTGGAGCAACAATAACGACCCCAAGCACACGTTCGGCATATCAAAAGACAACTCCGTCTAAAAGTTTACATTTTTTGAGCATGCAAGTCTGTCTACCTCAAGCTTACTTCCATTCATCTTCTGTAACCTCCTTCCTGTAAAGGTCATGGAAGCTGGTGCCCAACTCCAACCATCACCAGGCAGGACAAGTTGGACGCCCTAGATGGGTCTCCTGTCCATCACGGGGACAACGACAAATGATCAATTCTTCCTAAACTGAACTGTACTAAAAAAAATATGTAAAACATATGGGGATGGTTTTAAGAAAAACTGACCTTACATTATTCTTCCATTAACTCATTCACTGCCAGCCGTTTCCTGATCACTAACGGCCTTCGCTGCCAGCGTTTCTCACCATTTTTACTGTTATTTTAAGAGTCACAGAACGTTGTGCGCTAGCATGATGTCGATGCCAAAACAACCAAAACAAAGAGGAGACTCACCTCTTACATCAGGAAGAAGCCGCGTGTTTCGAGCGTTATCCGTTCTTTCATAATCCGTTGTCGAATTGTGATCGGCAGACGCTTTTCCGGTTCGCGCCTCACTTTTTTTACAGGAACGGCCCAAAACGATCTCCAAACACATAGATGTGTTGCTTCCTGATCATGTGATCTGTGACGTATGCGGATGAAGATCGGCTTCAGGGTTGAGACGTTTGTTCTCTCAGCGCGGCGACTCGTTCCGATGCTCAAACAGTAAAAAAATGCAAATGACAACTTTAGTCGTCAATGGCAGTGAATGAGTTAATAATAATATTACCATACAACATGTCATCACCTGCTTTGCTCTAAATTAATAAATAAAACAAAAAACCCATACATTTGTTGCAGACGTTAAAGGGGTCAAACAATACGCCCACATTTTCCTCCTGGGACATTCAACGTTAAGCAAGTCAAACCAGACGTCAGCTCCAGCCATTAATATTCGTCTGCAACCTGGTCTAGGTCCGGGCAGAAAGTGCTGCGTCAATACCGTCCCTCTCCCATGAATCCCCATTAGCATCGTACGCAGTAAAGGCCAGCTCTAAATGGTGTATTGATATTAAATTAGAGCTGGAGCTCCCTGGTGTCGGAGTCTGCTTAGTGTCACACTCTGTTTGGCCGTGCTCGTGTCTGTGAGTGTGTGAGAGAGTTGCATATTTCAGTGATTAACTCGGCGACTTGAGGGGCTAAATTTGATGCGGACAATATGCTGCTCTAATGACGGTGATTTCCGGTGCTCGAGAAGTGCGTGTCAGGAGTCGGAATCCTTCATATTCAAGATCTAGTTGTTGATTTGTTGTGAAATTGAGGTTTTCAGGGATTTGGTGATATCTCTGTGCAGATTAAGGCCAAATGTCAAGACAACGGAAGAGTAAAGGGAGGAATGGAGTCAAGTGTCCCTCTCCAATAGACAAGAGAAGAAATTTCATTTGTGTAAGCCAAAAGGTCAGGCGGGATTGATTTCTCTCAGGGAAAAGGGCAAATTCCAAAATAAAAGTTCTAAGATACACAGCCCAAAAGTCAAGCTGAAGTCAGATACGACCTCCTTTCAGTTAGCAGCATTGCTCTCCATCCTTGTTTTCTCTGTAGTTGTTAAAATCTGTGGCCCAGTGGGAAGACACATGCTGGTTGCTTTCTGGAGCAGCTCTAAGTGAGGGCCGCTCTGCTAATCAGGCATCGACGGGGTTATTTTCCTCCCCTCCGTGTAAAACAGCCTGTATGTAGCATTGATCAGCTCCTCACCGAGCGCATTTTCATCAGAAGCTCTCAGAGCGGCAGGCGACATCGACGTGGCCCTCTCAGATGCTCCTCTCTTTGTCTGGAACAGTGACCGAAACAATTCCCTAAAGATGAGTTGACACATGGCATCGACCAACCTTTAACCTTTATCTTCCATCCTCCACAGGCAGCCTCTCTGTGAGGGAAGTAGCAGAGTTATTGGAGCAGGAAACCCTTCAGCTGCTGAAGAAGGAGTGTGGAGGTCTTCAAACACTTCTCAAGAACAACCACCAGGTCTTTAGAGGTAGTTTGGACACATTCTTACTCCGTTTCTGGTGTTAAAAACTATTAGATATTAATGTAACATGCTCTGTGCCTTCACTGAATATACATTTACACTTTTTCATAACTTTTTAAGGACTTTCTCTTTTTTAGTTGCATTGAGCTGGTTTTACAGGCATTCCGGTTTCACACTTAGTCCTGAATAACATAGTTGTCAAATTGTAGTTTAACCTTTAATATTTAGGTGAATAAAGCCATCTAAAGCAACCTGGTCTTGTGTGAAGGAATAATGCATGTTCTATAACATTACATAGTGCGCACATCCCGTGGAAAACCCGGTTGAAGACATTACTAGGCCAGTCAGCAGACATAATCCCTCCAGCGTGTCCTGGCTCTTCCTTTAGACCTCCTCCCGGTCTGACGTGCTTGGAAAACCTCACCAGGGAGGCGTCCAGGAGGCATCCTGACCAGATGCCCGAGCCACCTCAACTGGCTTCTCTCGATGTGGAGGAGCAGCGGGTCTACTCCGAGCCCCTCCTGAATGACCGAGCTTCTCACCCTATCTCTAAGGGAGAGTCCAGCCACTCTTTGGAGAAAACTCATTTCGGCCGGTTGAATCCGCGATCTCGTTCTTTCGGTCACTACCCAAAGCTCATGACCATAGGTGAGGGTAGGAACGTAGATCCACCGGTAAATCGAGAGCTTCACCTTCTGACTCAGCTCTCTCTTCACCACGACAGACCGGTACAACGCCCGCAAAACTGCAGATGCAGCACCAATCCACCTATCGATCTCACGCTCCAGTTTTCCCTCACTCGTGAACAAGACCCCGAGATACATAAACTCCTCCACTTGGGACAGGACCTCATCCCTGACCCGGAGAAGGTATTCTACCCTTTTCCGAATCAAGACCATGGTCTCAGATTTAGAGGAGCTGATTCTCATCCCAGCTGCTTCACTCGGCTGCGAACCGCTCCAGCGAAAGCTGAAGATCACGTTCTGACGAAGCCAACAGGACCACATCATCTGCAAAAAGCAGCGACCTGATCCTCAGGCCACCAAAGCGGATGTCCTCCACACCTTGGCTGCGCCTAGAAATCCTGTCCATAAAGGTTAAGAACAGAATCGGTGACTCTCACCGAAAACCAGCTTGACTTACTGCCGGCAATGCTGACCAAGCTCTGCCCCACACTCCTAGAGTACCCCCCACAGGACCCCCAGGGGACGCGGTCGAACGCCTTCTCTCAACCACAAAGCAGTAGATTGGTTGGGTGAACTTGGGTGAAAAAAATAAACAGAAGAAATCAGGAATGGGGCAATAACTTTTTCACATAAGATTTACACGAATACACTTCAAAAATGTCTAGTTCCTCAAACATCCAGCAGGAAATATGCTGCTTTACCATGAAAACTGAATAAATGATCTACATTTATAAAATAATAATAATAATAAACAAAAAAGCTAATAAAAAGTTGTATTTTCTCTCCATTCCTCATGTGGCAAAACCCTTAAATGAATCATTTTTAATCAATCCTTTCCTAAACACTGCTCTTTAAACACTTCAAAACTTCTCAAAGATTTTTGACTTCAAAAGAACGTTTCACCTCAAAATGAAGTACAAATAGTTCTAAATCAACTCCAAACATCCTGTTTTAGTGTCTGAAAACCCGGTAATGTTCTGGTTTTCCAAATAAAATACGGGTAGGTGGTAAAAGCCGCCATCTGCTTGTAGTCATGTCATGCACTAAAGAACTGTTCCTTCATTTCCTGTCGTTTCTCATGAAATGTTCCATTTATAAAATAAAAGGTATTTCATAACATAGCGGCTGATCTTAGTGATGACTCAGCGGAAGGGTTCTGCCACTTTAAGCTATTATTGTCTGTAGAAAACAGACAGGTTGTTTACTTCTGGGACCAGGATGTCTGAAATAACTCCTGCTTTCCTGCTTGGCTTAAGAAATCAAGAAATGTCTTTTTTCTCCAGTGGAAGGAGGGAGAGTCTACATAAGAGACTGGCGGGACAGGAAGTCCACCAGGACAGAAACCCAGAGGACAGCCATCGCCCCTGGTGCTCTGAAAACACGCCTCTGCTGGTTTGATACCCACCACCCTCAGGGCTGCCCCCTGCTGGTCCAACACTGTGCCTTTGCCCATGGACAAGATGACCTCCGACCCTCCACCAGACCTCTAAAGAAGATAAAGAACTTTGTTTTTGATGTTTCACTGGAAAACTTAATTTAAACTTTTTTTTAAATATTGCTTTTAATTTAACGAATGTGTGTTTTGACTGAGGGTCTTTTTTGATTTGAGATTTGTGTTTATAAACAAGATTACAGAGATTCCTGAAGTTCCTGTTTGTGTTTATTGAAAAACAAAGTCTGAGTAGATTTTAACTTTTCACAAAAATGTCAAAAGCCTCTGCTCAGACGCGTTATTCACCTCAGACCCGTGGTGGGGGTCAGGCACTGGGCGGCAGTTAACGGGCCACGTTTGAACAAAGTAAATGTTAGCGTTATGAATTATTTGTTGGCGAGAGCTGAAGGGTGAGCCACATGCTGTCCTCCCTCGCCGTTGGTCGTCTCGGTCGCTGAGCGGCTCAAATGTCAAAGGCAGTAAGACCCCCCCCCAGGGGTACGCACTGGGACAGGGACAAAGGACACTACAGAATTTTATTTATGTGACGGAAAATTAGATCAGCTGATCAGCCCAGCATTTATGCTAGGAAAAGAGGGTATTTCCTGTTTGACTCGCACATCAATTTAAACAATGAAGTTGTACATTTAAAAAGCATTGATCTAAGTCAGAGGACTTTAAAGTGCTTCACAGTACTATCAGTCACACACTAATGGTGATGAGCTACAGTGTAGCCACAGCTACCCTGAGGCGCACTGGCAGAAGCCACTGGTCCCTCTGCAGGTGAGGAAGGTGAAGTGTCTTGTTCAAGGACATGACTGACATGGATGGTGCCTGGGTTGAACTGCACATCCACTTATTACCGGGCCTCTCAGAACTCCTGAAGCCCTTTTCTTTATTATCATTATGTTGTTAGATAGTTGCATAATAAAATAAAACAGATTTTTATAGGTGTGTTTTTGACAATGTTTTATTGTTTTATATGTCAGGCATTAAAGTGGCAAACCAGAATATTATTTCCTTTTATCACAAATCATGTTTGCTTTTTTTTCTTCTTTTTTCAGAAATCCGTGAAAGTGACCCTTTACTGTGATAAAATAGTTTTTTATAAACCCGTCCCCCGTCCACTAGAGTACCATAAAATTGGAATTGAGCACAACTCGGCATTGGCCAATAGCGTTCAACGTCCTCTTACATGCAGATGCCAATCACAGAGTGTGTGCCTGGGTTTGTAAAAGTACCTAGACTGACAGAGTTGGCAATATTTCTTATGGACAAGTAAGTGCTATGAAAATTTTATATATAATTGAACAAAGTAAACAAAAGAAATGTTAGCGTTATGAATAATTTTTTGGGCGATAACTTCCAGCCGTAATCACTGAAGTACGGAGAGGGGCTTAAAGGTGCAATGCATTTTTCTGCCTCTAGATGGTGCCCCCTGAGAGAAACTCAAGTTTGAAGGGTTAAATACCTTCATTATGTCAGGAAAACTATGGATGTGGGAAAATTTGCTTAATTGGAAATGAATAAAGACATAAAGAATAGTTTTTAACCTTTGCATGGCCTTAGAGCTGTACTCTTGTTGTGATTTAAAGAGACATCACCAATGGCTGACATTGAATAACAACCTTTTCACAATTTCTATACCAGAAAAAGGAAATCATCTCTATGCTGGGTTCTTCCTACTACAGTACTGCATGTTGAAAAGGTGAACTAACAGTGAAGAAACTGATGGAACTGGATGTTCCGAAACAGAGTTGAAGGTGAGTGTTGTGACTTCTTAACCAGGACTCAGTCATAAAGAGAAAATCAGTGGAACATTTTTCCTCTTCCACTTTTATGCTTGTGTCATCATCCTTTTATTTAAGAAATCAGTTTAAGAAAACACTCCTGCTGTTCAAAAGGTCAAGCAGTCCACCTGACCCACTGGGGTAATCACCGGCCCTCACATCCACACTCATCTCTAACGAACTGTCAGCAGGACCTTCTACTGGTATTTACTAACTACTCTTTGGTTCAGCACTATCTGATTGCTTTTACTAGTAAGAGTGATGAATTCAGTTTTTTTTTTTTTTACTAATAGTAAGTCTCCCCCTGGATTACATGATGAAATTTAACCCTCCCACTGTTCTAATGGGTGTGACCCCACGAGGAAAGTTGACCATTGAGCAGGATTGATGGTTTATCCCTTGGGTCCATGTGGCGGGGGTGAGGAGTGAGCACCACCTCACCCCTATCACGTGGACCTCAAGAGATAAACCATCAATCCTGCTCAATGGTCAACTTTCCTCGCGGGGTCACCCATAAAGACAGAGGGAGGGTTAAAAGGGCAGATCAGGTTTTTACTTGTTCAGTTTAGGTTTGCCAGACATTGAATTTAGGGTATGTAGTTTACACACATAAATGTTATAGCAAGTACATTGTTAAATGTGGGTTTATTATCAAAATGAAATAGTAATGTTCCTCTTCATGATACACTTTTCTCAAGTGAATTCCACACTTTCTTTGCACTTCTGAGATCATGGTTGAGATTCTTGCAATGCAATAGGGCGCCTAAGTCACGCCCATCTACTTCTGGACCATGGGTCTCTGGAAGACCAAAAACATGAATGCAGGTCAATGGGGCTAAAGACGCCATTTTCTAATTCCGCATGGTTTTCACATATGATGTCCGTGAAATTTAAAGATGCATTTTGATGCTGGGAACCGGCTAATTTTGGAATGGGGGCAATCGTTATTTTATGTTTTGTGTGAAAATAAGTCCAGGACTACAAATGCGCATCACCGAATCACTTTGGTTATTTGTGTCATCAAACCAGACACGGATGAAAACAGAGGGAAAATGGTTGTAAGTTCAGCAAACTTCAAACCTTTCTTTCAGGAGGGAAGAACCACCATAAATCATGTGGTGAGTAGCAGCTACGCTAGGAGAGAGGAGATTGTGGTGACATCTGATTTGTAGTCAACGAACTTTTTTTTACAAGCTGACAATTAAAAGTACGTGACAGGTGTGGTCTAATCACACATCATTACTTTTCATTTAAATTGCAGTACAACATACATGCGATCCAGGGCGTAAGACAAAGCGGATTAGAAAATAACTCTTTCAGCCCAGTTGACTCGCATTCATTTATTCGTTCTTCCGGCGACCCATGAGCCGACCGGAAAGGGAGGAGACTTCGACAGTTAGCAATCTAGCTGCAATAAGCTAGCTGCCACTGCTATAAACACTTGCTAATAACCACAGAACTCCATGTAAATGTTCACCAAGTCAAGTCAAACAAGTCAAACCAAGCTTGGTGAGCAGTAAGTCAAATTCAAGTCAAGTCAAGAAAGTCATTTTCATGTCACTTCTGCTTTATTGAATCCAGTCAAGACATTCAAGAGAAGTCAGATATAGTCAAGCCAATAAAGTCAAATTAATGTTGTCAAGTCAGATCTGCTTTAAGCCAAGTCTTGTCTGCTTTGTTAAATCCAGCCAAGTCAAGGCGGTCCAAGCCCCTGAACCTGACTGACAGCTTTCTCTTTCTTGACACTTTTAAACCTTTTTCGAGAGCTTGGAACAAGCAACTAACAAGGAGTTTCCAGTTGGTGCGATCTTTGTTTAGTTCCAACGTAAAACTATGTAGATCTTGTGGATAGAAACCTGTACAGGGAGTGCAGAATTATTAGGCAAATGAGTGTTTTGTCCACATCATCCTCTTCATGCATGTTGTCTTACTCCAAGCTGTATAGGCTCGAAAGCCTACTACCAATTAAGCATATTAGATGATGTGCATCTCTGTAATGAGAAGGGGTGTGGTCTAATGACATCAACACCCTATATCAGGTGTGCATAATTATTAGGCAACTTCCTTTCCTTTGGCAAAATGGGTCAAAAGAAGATCTTGACAGGCTCAGAAAAGTCAAAAATAGTGAGATATCTTGCAGAGGGATGCGGCAGTCTTAAAAATTGCAAAGCTTCTGAAGCGTGATCATCGAACAATCAAGCGTTTCATTCAAAATAGTCAACAGGGGTTGCAAGAAGCGTGTGGACAAACCAAGGCGCAAAATAACTGCCCACGAACTGAGAAAAGTCAAGCGTGCAGCTGCCAAGATGCCACTTGCCACCAGTTTGGCCATATTTCAGAGCTGCAACATCACTGGAGTGCCCAAAAGCACAAGGTGTGCAATAATCAGAGACATGGCCAAGGGCCCAAGACATTCAAAGAAAGGTGGCTATATTGGTCGCTGATTTGTTTTTGAATGTCAGAAATGTATATTTGAGAATGTGGAGGTGTTATATTGGTTTCACTGGTAAAAAATAAATAATTGAAATGGGAATATATTTGTTTTTTGTTAAGTTGCCTAATTATTATGCACAGTAATAGTCACCTGCACACACAGTTATCCCCCTAAAATAGCTAAAACTACAAACAAACGAAAAACTACTTCTAAAAACATTCAGCTTTGATATTAATTAGTTTTTTGGGTTCATTGAGAACATGGTTGTTCAATAATAAAATTATTCCTCAAATACAACTTGCCTAATAATTCTGCACTCCCTGTAGCTTCCTTTAAAAGTGGATCAGTTTGACGTAGTGCCACGTTTCCTCTGCATCTGCTGCTTTTATTTCTGTTAATAATTAGGAGCAAACCTGGCCCATATGTGGGACCGAGTCTGTTCTTTTGCAGCTTTTTGTCCATCAGTGCTTAGAAATAAATGAGGCGATGATAAATGCGTTTAAACAGGAGGAAGGGGAACATATTGAGAGGAAACCACTCCACATGTCTGAAATCTAGGTCAGGGAGAAGTGGTGGCATCCCTTTGCCTAAGCCAACAACTTCTCCTGTGTTTTCCTCATGCTTTATTCATTGTCACCACAGGGATGGATGTAACGCAGCTTCTTCAAGACATTATGAATAAACACACCTTTCATGTTGGACCCCTTGGCGTTGACAGCTGTCACAGAATTTTTGGGAACAACTCTGCTTTAAGGCTCCTTCTTTTGGCTCTGTATTTTTTTGTGATTTACACAATAATGTGAATATCATCAGTTCAATATACATACACACACACACATATATATATGTATGTGTATACATATAGATGTATATGTATATATACATATGATGCCAACAATATATATGTATATATAGAGCTCCGGGAGTTGACGTCACTTCTCCCGGCATGCAACAGTTCAAATCGAAACGGCGCCATATTGGC